AGCAAGAAAGTTTGAGTCACTCATTGGGGAAGAACATTTGTTCTGAGGTTTTAGGCAGACTTTCCATAGAGAGTCGATGTTGGATTCTGGGCTCCAGAGGGCCCTTGGGTCAGCTGATAGGAAAAGGAAAGGCTCCTGTCCTTCCAAGTGGGCCCCAGGTTGCCGTCGTTAATGAACCCCTGATGTACTTGCCTCCCTCCCTGGTCATATGTCTCTCTTTCCAGCCCCTGTGGAGGTGTAGGGGGTGCGGGGTTTCAGGGAGAGGGGAGGAAGCGTTTCAGGATTTAGGGCAGTGAAGATGTGTGGTGTGCCGTCCTGACTGAGCAAGCGGTATGACTGATGGCTTTCCTGCTCTCAGACACTCATGGTCACTGGGGACAGCTGAGCTGCTGTGGTTTCTCTGTGACAGACACCATTCTGTACTTGCCCACAAGCAGACAACCCTAATCCAGTGGTACTCATGTGCCAAGAACTCAGAGGTTTATCCTGCTGAGAAGCCAGGCTCCTGACACCAGGAGAGTCTCATTTCTCCCTGCAGCACAGCTAACTGCCACTTTTGCAAATGCTGTCTTTGAGATACCTCTGTCCTGGGGTTCGCCCTGAGAGGCTGCAATTGCAGCAGGGTTTTACTCACATTGCTCCTGCAGGCCAGAGCCCATGAGAGGAACAGGTTTGGTGTCTTAATACCGGGACTGGTCCCACTCTAGGGGGCCAGCTGGGGTGGGGGAGGTGGGGGTTGCCTGGTTCTGGGCTGTGACCTGGGAGAGACCCTTCTCCCATTTTGGCATTTCTCAGCAAATGTCCTGGCTTGCAGCAGCACCCCCACCCTGCTTCCTGCTCTCCCCTACTCTCTCATGCAGTTGTTTAGTCACTAAGTCATGTTGGACTTTTCTGCGACCCTCTGGACTGAAGCCTGCCAGGCTCCTCCACCCATGGGATTTCCCAGGCAAGAATACTGGATAGGGTTGCCATTCCCTTCTCCAGGGCATCTCCCTGATCCAGGGATCGAACCCACATTTGCATTGCAGGTGGATTCTCTCCCGCCGAGCCACTGGTGAAGCCCAAGTCTCTCATGAACATGCTTTAAAACTGGCCTGTAAGCGTGTCGTGAAAAAGTCGGCTCCAGACTCTGTAGTCAAGCCAAAGACCTGAGCTCTGGAAATCCCTTTCAGAAAGCCTCTCAGCCACATGCTACTGGGGCATGTGTTGTGCAGGTTGGGTAGGCAGGATCTAAATAGATTCAGCTTACAGACCTGGGCCTTATTGCCTCCCTGGTGTGAGCTGGGGCGTAACACGCAGAGTGACCCTGTGAAAAAGCCCCTCACTTCATTGCCTAACTGAATGTTTGGAATTCTGTCGAACAGATGAACCGGAGTTCTGAAGACTGTCTTCAAAGAGCTCCACTCACAGCCCAAGTATCCGTTTGTTTCAGGGATTTGGGGAGAGAGCTAATGTTTGCTAGCAGCTGCCTCATGCTGGCAGTGTATGCACGTGGCTTCGTTACAAACTGTCTTGAGCGGATGCTGGGCTGGCTGTGCGGTGCCGGAAGGTGTCTCAGGCAAGTCTAGTGGGACTGCGGAGGCGCCCAAGGTGACGAGGTGTGGCAAAGTGGAGGGAACCAGGTCAGATGATTTTGTCCAGGGTTGACTTTGAGGGTAGAGGTAATATTTTCTCGCCACTTAATCTTTCTGAACACGTGTGCTTCTTGAGGTTATTTTTAACTCTGAGCCCTGGGTAACTCAAGACAAAGATGAGGGGGCACTGTCCCTTAATTTGTTCGTGTCCGAAAATCTGGTTATTCACAGACAGATGCAACCCTATAGCCAGGTTCGGAGGATTGTTTCTTTTTTTGCGGCTCAGGGATCAATCAATTGGCTCGAGATTACCTCTCTTTCTTGTTAGTAACTCTGATCAAATGAGTAATTTTGAATTAGTTCTAGATCTTCCTTAGTCATGTGACCTCAGCAATATTTGTGAGAATATAACTGAGGAGGTTATCATCCCTGAAGCTGGGAATGGAAATTTTGGGACAATGCTTCTAAATTAAATTTGTCACAAAGCCTTACTGGCAGAGTTGTGGAGCCATGGGAATCAACTTGGGTAATGGTTATTTTCCACTGCATCCTCCTGACATTAGGAACAATGTTTCAACCAACAAAGGCTCCAGTTTTAATGTGTGGATGAATCACCAGGAGATCTTCTTAAAATGCATTTTCAGATTCAGTAGGTGGGGGATGGGGCCTGAGATTCTGCCTTTCTAATAAGGTCCCTGGTGATGCTGCTGGTTGGTCGTCCAGACTCTGAGTCCCAAGGTTCTAGAACAGTGGTTCTCAAAGTTACCTGTCAGAAATTTAAGTGTGGGGGCACCATCCCAGAACTGTAGAGTCAGCAGCTCTGAGGGTGGGGCCCAGTGTCTGGGTTTTAACCAGCCCTATTTGTGATTCTCATTTCTACTTAAGTCTGAGAACCACTGTTCCACATAATGAATTACATGAATCCTTCAGTGGAACACATTCCAACACTTCATGGCCCTTTCCTGCTAAAATGTCTCCCTTAGGTCTAGCCTTCAATTGTTTTGCTTAATTACTCCGGTTCTTTAAGGCACTATTTAAATGATTTTCAAAGGTCCCAATCTTAGAATTTCAGTTCTATAACCGACTTTAAGATATGTTCTGATTTCTTTTCCCCACATTTTATGTTCCCCTATGAACCTTGTCTACCGCTGGGTTTTCAAAGTAGCTGGTGGAAAGCATTAAAGTGAAAGTTAAGTTGAAGAATTATCTGTAACCCATTTGTTGTTATATTCTATCAGCAATTATCACGTTCTCCTGTGTCAGAGTTCTGGGTCAATTTGTAGTCTAAACATGTTTTATCCACTGCCTTAGAGTCTTTACTCAAATACTAGTATTATTTTTAAATTTTTCTAAAAAGATGGAGCAGTGGGAAAGAATAACTAAACTGGTTTTATGCAGTTTTGTTGGATTTGAGATTAAATAGAGGCCAGGGGGAAACTGTCCTGGGGACAATTAAGCACAGAAGCTAACAATTGTAGTGGATTGCTATAGAATTAGGAAGAACTGGGCACAGGGCAGGGGGCATAGGGAGCTTTTTTAGAAGGCAAAGGAAACAGCTTTCAGAGTCAGGTAATAATCCTTGCTGTGTTGAGCTTTTCAAACTGGATTATATTCATAAGATATGATTATGTATGAGAAGGGTGTATACATTCTTTTTTAGGCTGTGAGTCCTGATGAATGGGGACACCCCAATGACTGTGTGATTGAATGAGTGTAGGCAACTCCAGCCCAAAGAGCAGCCTCCTTCTATTGCGGGAATGCTTTCTGGTGCAGGGGCAGTCAAGTAGGAGCTGCAATGAAGCGTGGTGCCTTAGCACAGAGGAGCCACTCACCTTTCCAACCTGTGTGTCTGTGGGCATCCTTTCCTAGTTGTGTGTCTTGGTATTGATGTGAGAGGTCTCCTCCACTTTCTAGTTCCTGAGGGTAGCTGGCTAAAGCACACATCTTCCAGTGAGGGGAAACTAGATGCTTTTACGAGCTTTGATTCTGCTGCTAGATTTTTCAAGTTCTCCACTGCCTGGTTCTGCCTGTCTGTGGAACACCTGCTTTTGATGTTCCATAGACTTTTATATTGCCTGAGCCACCATCATCTGACATGAGCAGCCAGCTCATTGGAAAAGTCCCTGTTGCTGGGAAAGATTGAGGGCAGAAGGAGAAGAGGGCATCAGAGGATGAGATGGTTAGATGGCATCACCGATGCAAAGGACATGAACTTGGGCAAACTTTGGGAGATGGTGATGGACAGGGAGGCCTGGCGTGCTGCAGTCCATGGGGTCACAAAGAGTCGAACATGACTGGGCAATTGAACAATAGCAAGACATTTATACAGTGGTTCTTGCCAATGCATACAGAAATCCCAAGGAGAATTTTGTTTATTATGACATTTTTTTTCAAGTTGAGCAAAAAGACATATCTCCAGATAATTGTGAAAAAAATCTAGACAAATGTGTAACTGCATATAACAATTACCAGGAGACTCACAGTGGGAATAAGCAGGGTCAAACGTTCACTCCAAAGGACTTAAGATGTATGAATTCGGACAGACTGAAAAACCCACTGATTTTGACTTAAATAAATGACCCAGGATGTATGGTAACAACAGCTCTGTCAAAGAAATTGGGTTACAGCCATCAATTACTTAACCACTGCCCCTCTAGCCCATGAACTGGTAACTTTAGAAACTTTTTGTAATGACATGTGGGATACAAGGGAAAAAAAGACAAGGTGACATTTTCACCCTAGCAGAGAATGTGTTAACTGGTTTAAGAATTGAGGGTTCTATTGCTTTACATATTGGTTGGCCAAGATCTCTGACTTGAAGAAATATTTCTGACGGAATGAGCATATTTCAGAATAGAGAATTTAGATTCAACTTCAGTTGTTCAGGGGTTGACCCTCAGATTGGGAAAATATCCAGGATCCTGGTTTTTTCTCCTTCTGATACTAAATCCATCTTTTTTCTATTCCCTGATACCCATTTCCTATCTCTTTTTGTACCTTTCTACAGCTCATTATTAGGCTTTTTAAATAAAGAGTGGGTAAAGGATACACCATGGAAAAAAAATAGTGGATGAAACTAAAATTTATGAAATTGACTCAGTTACCCTGGATCTGGAATTGGCATGGGTTAGAAGAAATTGGAACTCTTCACCAAATATGTGATTTTGGTTAGTGATAGTCATCAATCAATAAATGAATGGGTATTTGCTTATCAATACCTTGAATCTCATAATGATTTAGTTTTCTGTTATTACAAATATTGTTAGGATATTAAAAATATTTTGGTTGTTGTTTTAGGTATATGATAAATTTGCCCCAGGTCATCAGAGGAGGTAACGTCTATCCCATCAGTCCCCATAAACTTAGTCAAATGGACCATTCTCCCCTCTCCCGAACCTTTCATGAATCAAGATAAGAAAAACATACCTGTCCTGCGGTGTCATACAGTCCGAGCAAGTGTTGCTTGCCTCCCACTGTCACAGTAACTAGGGGAGAAGAGAAAAGAAGAGTCTGTAAATGCGAGCTTCAATCAGGATCCTTCACATTTCTCTATGCCAGCATCTCCCTGGGCAGCAAGGCCAAGCATATGCCTCACCCATGTATATTCTAAACTGAGTTGACAGCATGATCGCCAAATGAAAGCCAACCTTGGGCTGCAGCGAGAGCAGATGGGCTGAGTCAAGTCCAAATTTCTCGACCAAGGCAAATACTGTTGGTGCCACTAGGGCACTCTGCAGGCTGCTCATTAACCTGATCAGGTGCTGTGATGGCAAGATCCTGAAGGGAAAGGATGCTGGACTCGTTTTTGGTTAGGTTATTCTCTTCTTTCATTTGGCTTGAGCCACCTTTCAGGATATAGACTCAGGTAACCAGAAATCTTGGCTTTTATTTGCTGTCAAAATGCTAAGAAGCTCTGAAAACAAAGGATGTTAACCCACCTGTCTATTTTATAATTTATAGCAAAGCTGGGGCTTCCCAGTGGCTCAGTGGTAAAGAATCCACCTGCCAGTGCAGGAGATATGAGAGTCACAGGTTCGATCCCGGAGTTGGGAAGAGCCCCTGGAATAGGAAATGGCAACGCACTCCAGTATTCTTGCCTGGAAAATTCCATGGACAGAGGAGCCTGGTGGGCTACCATCCATGGGAGTCACAGAGTTGGACATGACTAGTCACAGCAGGATCAGCAGGAAGGCAAAACTAATAGTGAAATGAGAAGGGCTTAACATTTATTGCAAAAAGTGTTTTTATTCAATATCTCTCTACTTTAGCTCAACTGATTCATGACAGTTTGAAACTTAGTTGCTGAAGGAAGTGTTGTATATGGGTTTCTTCTAACATTATATATAGAGTGAGAAGTAGAGAGTTTGATTTACCCAATAGGCTTATTGCCTCACCAAGCAATTATGTCCAAAAGTAAGAGGTAATAGAGGAATACCAGCCACTCTTTACATGGCTGGAAATGAAATAAAGTCTCAACTTGAAACTAAACTGAGATAGAACAGATTGAAAGCAAGAGTAATACCATTTTCTTGGTAAATGGAAGGAACAAATTTAAATTTCCACAAAAATTTAATTCCTCTTTGGAAAAAGAAAGTAAAATATGAAGGAGAATGTGATTTTTCCTAGTTGATTAAGAAGAATGTACAAATGCTACAAATGCAGGGATTTATATTCAATATCCTGTCATAATCTATAGTGTAATATAATCAGAAAAAAATAAATGAATTGCTATATGGTACACCTAAAACTAACACAATGCTGTAAATCAGCTATATTTTAATAAAAAATGTACAGGTCCAACATAAAAATGATTTTTGATTCCTTCTGTCATTAAATGTTAAGAAAATGAAAAATAAATGGAATAGCAACCTTTTATAACCACATCTCTAAAATATGCCAGCCAGATTCTCTAGTCTACTGCTCAGAGTTACTGATTTGGTACTGATTTGAGTTTTATTTGTTTTCAGGTTCAGGGGCTACATGTGTGCAAAGTGCTTTTTAATGGCTTATTCTTTGAAAAGCACTTGTTTAAAAAGCACTGCCTCCCCAGACACTGGGAACAATTTTTCTAATCTTCTCAGATCAACATGTGTTCAGCTTGATAACATGGTGGCAGCCACTCAGATGAGCTTTTAAATGTGTGTTTTTAAGTGGTGAACTCAGCTCCATCCAATGCTAGTGACAACACAGAAGATAAGCATTTAAACATTTTTCTTTCATAAGCCAGGCTAGCGATGGAAATGAAGGTGAGATGGCGCAGCCCCCAGCTCTTTGTCCTGTTATATTTTCCTCTTGCTGCAGACTTGGAGCCTAGTCAGATGTTCCTAAAATCTGCCTAAATGATTTCTTTAATGGCCCATCCACCACCTAGTCATGGATCAGGAATGAAAGGAAGAAAGCCAGCCATTACAACATGGAATTTCCTGCCTCTAATGAGCCCAGTACACACAGGTTAGGGCAGCTGCTCAGAGACCCCCTGGGATAGCCCCCTGACCTACAGACCCAGGGCCATCTGTGGACAGAGCACTAGAAGTTGCCTCATTCTTCTGGCCCCACTGGGCACTGCAGATGTTCTGAAGTGATGGCTCCGACCTTCATCACTGGAGCCCTGAAGATCATGCTTGAGTTTTCTCAGGGAACAAACGTTCCTTCCAGCCTGCTTTTCCTCAGACCTCACCCTCTTCTCCCTTGGCAGCTCTGACGGCAGGGAGCTGTACCAGGCCTGAGGCGAGGGCCAGCCTGGGAAGCAAGCCTTTGGGCTGAGAGTCTGAGCCCAGTCTTTCCTTTCCTCTGTCCTTCCCTTCCTCTAGGATTTATTTAGAAAGTGACTGCTCAAGGGTTGGGAGTGTTTATGCTCCCTGGAGATACGTCTCCTGCTGTCACAGAGCGTGGAGAGGAGGGTACCAGGCAGTGTGGTGGGCACTCTGCAGGGCAATGTAGGTGGGTGTGGGAGCACGCAGAAGGGGCACTACCACATGCACACACACACAGCTGAAGTGCGGTCCAAGAAGGCTTTCTGGAGCGCATGGTCTGAGCTGAGTCCCAAGATTGGCGAGAGTTACCCATGGTGCCCTGTGAGTGGTTCAGGAGATATCCAACATGCACTGGAGGAGACGGGGCTGAGGAGGTGAGCATGCAGGCTCAGGCCCTCCTAAGTCACCAATACAGGCTTTATGCTGAAGGCTTTGTTAAGCTGTGAAAGTCCTGAATTCTCCTCTTCCCCAAAGGCAGTGAAAGAGAAGGAATGAAAATAGTTTTCTTGGGTTTAGGCAAAACGGCAAGAGGAGGGAAGATGAGGATTTTGGGGTGGAAGCCAGGTTGGCCGTGAGCTTGCTGTGCAGTGGCTGCCTGCGCTGTTGGGTCAGCCCTGCTGGAGGAATCCTGAGGGGACAGGGCGGAGCTTGTGCCCCCATCTCTGGAAACCACATTTGTTCTCTTCTCTGCCCTTTGATTCTTCCATTTTATCAGAAGGGAGATGAGGGGATCATAGGGTTGATGATGGAGAACATCACGGGACAGGCAGCCAGAGACAGAGCTAAGCAGGACTCGCGCATCGTGGGATATGCAGATGGCTTTGTGAGTCCTTATCTTGGATTAGCAATGGACGCCTTCTCGCTCGTCAACCTGGCTCTGTGAGGCTCCTCACCTTGGAAATGAATTAGATCAGCACAGAAGGAAGGTGTGCTCTAAAATGATCAGAGGAAATGCAGAGAGGCTGAGACAGCAGGATCTTGGAAGTCAGACGGTTCTGCTTTCGAATCCTATCTTTCTATTCACCATCTGCGTGACTCTGGGAAAGTGACCTAACATCTCTGAGCCCCTCTTTCTCTATTTGTTAAAAGACAGCATCATCCATCGAAGAGAATACTTGTGAGGAGGAAGTTAAAGGAGAAGATCCTGGCACATAGCCTGGCCCATAGTAGGTGTTGAACAACTGTTGCTTTCTCTCCTTCAACAATGGAGAAGGGAGTGACAGCCCACTCCAGTATTCTTGCCTGGGAAATCCCATGGACAGAGGAGGCTGGTGAGTTATAGTTCATGGGTTACAAAGAGGTGGACATGACTGAATGACTAACATTCCTTCAACGAATGCTTGTTGAGTCTCTTCTAAGGCCAGGGCCAGCCTGACTTTCTCGCCCCTGTGCATGTGTACTCAATGCACATATATACTCAATGGACATGACCTGACACAACAACTTTATAATATGTATGAACTGCCAGTCACTTTCTACCCTAAATGGTTGCTATTTAGATCAATGTCTTGTGTCTCTGATTGGACAGGAAGACCCTTGAGGAGACAGTCTCCATAACCCATGCCCTGCACAGTACTGAGCACAGTTCCTGACATTTGTAGTAGATGCTGAATCCACAGAATGGAACTGAAGCCTCAGGGGCAACTCAGGCAGAAGGAGGCCCATCAAAACCAGCAGAGCTGCAGCTTTTGCAGCTTCAGGCTCCCTGGCAAGACACCAACTGCTGGGAATTGCCTGCAGCCAGTAAACCTGCCTGGCAGACAGTGGTCAGGCTAAAATCCCAGATCTCCTTCTATTCTCAGAGCTTTTAGGATTGTTTTTTGGTTTTTTTGAGCTTAGAGAGGTTTTAAAGAGAGTGGGTCAAGTGGCCTGCTAATGGCTCAGATGATTCTCTCAATAAAGTGTGAAAAGTTGTCAGTGACCTGTTAAGTATGTAAAATGAAGGCCTTCCTCTCCAAATCCATTAAGTTCTTTGCTCCCTTGTGTTTACTCTTGGTGCAGCTTGGATAGTTAAATTTATGAGTTGGAGTGAGGTGGTAATGAAGTTGAAGTCATGTTTCCTCTCCTGAGGGTTAGCTGGTTTCACCCAGAGAGAAAATGTCCTGGAAGGAGGTAAGCCCACCCCTGCCCCTCAACCCTAGCATTTCTGTTACCTCATGAAATGGCGTGTCATTTGCAAACCCGGATGAGGAAGGGTTGGTCATTCCCTGCAAGCCAGCTCTGACCATCAGTCCAGCTCATCAGCAGCGCTAGGAACCTGGTTCAAGGCCCCTGCCCTGTTGGGTGGTGGACAGGTCATCTCATCTGCTGGAGAAATCTTTCGGGGTCAATGTGTTGAATATATGATGAATCTGCGAACTGGCATGGTGGAAATGCCAGATCAGTCATGAGAAAACCTCCCAGTGCCCTTCCATTCCCAGCACAAGGCCAGCTGTCTGCATCACTCAGGTCGAATGTACTCTAGTTGGCGGGTAAGATAAAGCAGACCTGACTAGGTGTGTGGATATAATTCCATAAAGGTCCTAGGGCTTCCTTGGTAGTTCAGATGGTAAATAATTTGCTTGCAATTCAGGAGATCTGGGTTTGATACCTGGGTCAGGAAGATCCCCTGGAGGAGGGCATGGCAGCCCACTCCAGTATTCTTGCCTGGAGAATCCCATGGACAGAGGAGCCTGGTGGGCTACAGTTCACAGGGTCACAAAGTGTCAGACACGACTGAAGTGACTAACATT